GATGACTGGATCAAGAAGATGTGGTACATATATACCATGGAATATTACTCAGCATTCAAAAAAGATAAACACATGCAATTTGCAGCAACATGGATGGCGCTGGAAGGGATCATGCTCAGCGAAATAAGCCAAAAAGAAAAAGAAAAATACCGGATGGTCTCACTCATAGCAGGAATCTAGAAAACTTAAATAAGGGACCAGGAAAATGAATAACTATAAGAAAGTGAAAATCAAAATCAACAAAAAACTATGAACCAGAGACACTTTTTGGGGGGCGGGGGTGGGAGGGGAGGGATTGGGGTCAGAATGGGGGGCTGCAATTGTATGGGGAATATAAAAATAAAATTTATTATTAAAAAAAAAAAAAAAAAAAGAAAGGGGCCAGATCTGTAGGCTTTTCTGCCTCTGCTCCACTTAGAATATAACCATATATATATATGGTTATTTTATATTAAATATATATTTAATATATTATATATTATATATATTATATATATAATATAAATATATATTTATATTAAATATAAAATATATGTATATTTTATATTTGGGCTCCTGCATTGAAGAAACTGTCTTGCTATTAAAAACAGAAAATAAAATTTGAAACTAAGATTCCTGTCCACCAAGACAGAAAAGAGTGAGATGGATGAGCTGATTTAACTCATAAGATAAAATACAGAATAAATGTCATGTAGCTTTTGTTTGCTGGCAAAAGAAGGTCTACCAGTTGTCTGGGACAGGGAAGCTCTTATCACATGGACCTTTGCATAAAAAAGGGACATTGTCAGCAATAGTATAAATAGTAGGTTTCAAGAGGTTCAAAGGTGTTCCCTTATGATCTTGTTTATGGGACTAGAAAGAAACAAGGAGTTCATGGCAAAATTCAGGGTGCTTCCAGGGCTCTATTGAAACAAGAAAGTATGTGTGTTCTGGCCACATCCCAAGTCACGGATCTCCTATGAGTTCCACATAAGAGCTCTGATTGATGCCTTAGCATCTGGTGAATCAGAGTCTGGCTGACAGAGCAATTCTCCCCTCACCAGGCATTCATCCTAATTTTTAGCCTCTGTTCTCCTCTCTCTCAACTCTCTCTACTTGAGTAAAAGGAGTTACCATTTAGGAAACTCAAATCTTTTCTGTTTTGAATGTGATGCATTCAGCAGTCCACAAAGGTGAAATAAGCATACACAAATCACTGCTACATTACAGTTTAGAAAACTCTTCCCCCCCACAACTCCACATTTATGAATTCATGCATTGTACCATGTGGAGAAATCTAGCCCATTCTTTGTTGTGGTGTTGTGTGGATAGCTCAGGTTAGGTAGAATATCTGATTTTGAAACACACATATCTTCAGAGATGTGTTTTTATCTCAGGCACAAGTGCAAAGGTAAAAGAATAAAAGGTTTTACTTGATTACTAACTGGATTTTTCTTTAATTCTTTTTCTCCTCCTCACATATTTATATTTTCCCTTTTTTTCTTTTGCTTAGTATCACTGTCTGATTTTGCATTCCCTCTGCTGGGGCTCTTTGGTTATGCTTCACTTCATTTATTTTTTTTATGTAACCTGCTTAAGTTTAAAATGATCTGTTTTCTTAACAGGGTTAGCACACATGGTAATATGTTTCCTGGCACTCTGCCTCTGCCCCGTCACCCAGCTCTCTGGATTTAAGGTTTGTTTCTTCAGGAATGTGCTGCACTGTTTTGAATAAAGATAAAGTAAAGAATTCAGAACTCTTCTCCCAAGAAAGGCATGCAGAGTGATTTTTCATACCTGTACAGTAAAGAGACTTAGCAAAGCATTTTCTTTGAGCGGTAAGAACATTCAACTTAAATAACACTAAGATAGATTTTACCACCCCCATCCTGGGGTACATACCAGGAGACCTTCCACTATGTGTTAATCCATGGACATTTCCCCAAAAAGTCTTCATTTCAGAGGTCTGGGAATTGAACCAAGTAAAAAGAATGCTTGGATTTCTCCCCAGATTTTGAAAAATTTCTAGATTCTGCTCTAAACTACATTGCAGACGCACGTGCAGTTATGTTTACTCAGAAAATGCTATGTATTTCAACTTATATGTCTTTCAAATGCAAAGAAACTGGATTCACTCACTACTGATATCCTGCAGGCAGACAATAGATTTCTACTCATAAGGTTTAATTGAAGAGACTTTAATAATTAAGGAAAAATTTATGGGTTAAGTGGAGTCACCAAAGGATATTGACCGGTAACAGCAAAAAGACATTTCCGCCTCTAAAGCTAAAAAGAGAGAGGAATGAAATGTGTTTGGGAGAGCTGGAGCTGGGTGGAGAAGGCTGTCTGGTGGGAGCTGGGGTGATAAAGGAGTGTAGCCAAATGGCAGTAGGGAGACAAAGAGGAGCAGGTGCAAAATAATCCAGCCTCTCTCTTTCTGCTTCTGTTCTCCTGCTTCCTTTGGCCAAACACAACCAGCAAAGCTGGTGGGCATGGGAACTCAAGGGAAGCAGAGCAGACTCCTGAGACACAGAGAAGGGTGCGGGAGTGGACAGCAGAAAAGGATGTTGCAATGAACAAAGGGAAACTAACCAGTGCTGGGGTTAAGAAGGAGGAGGTTTGAAATTTGCTCAAAAGAATCTTCTTAACAGTAATCTGATTCACTTAATAAGAACTGGGGGTGATGGTACATGGTTTAATATGTCATGAAGAAGCGAGCAGATCTTCTGAATGGTGCTGTTAAGATATAGGAACTGAAACCCACTTATGAGAATTCTACTGACATGAAGGAGGGATAAAGTGTGTGAGTTAGAAGGGAACTTTTAGAGAGCTTCTAACTCAACCACTTCTCTTTCCTTCAAAGCAACACGGATGTTTATTTGATTGCCTACTGTGTGCCAGGCACTGTTCTCATGATTAGAACTCAACAATGAACAAGACAACCTCCAGTTCGGCAATAAACAAGAAAAAAAAATATATATATATATATGATTAGTCAGGAGGGGATATGTGCTGTGAAGAAAAGTAAGGCAAGGTAAAAGGTTAAAGAGGAAAGTAGAGCAAGAAATAGAGTTCCTCTTTATGGGGTAGCTGTGGAAGATCTCTCTGATTGGTGCCACATGAACAGGGACCCAGAGGAGGTAAGAGATGGGCCATGTGACCATCCAGGGCAAGAGCATTCCAGGCAGAAGGAACAGGAAGTAGAAGGGCCTTGATTGGGAGCATGCTTGGTGCAGAGCTCCAGGAGGGAGGTAGGGTGATAGAGATGAGACTAGTGAGCCAGCTGAGAGCCATGGCTGAGGAAACTTAACAGGCTGTGTAGAACTTTGTTTCATTTTCAAAGGGATGGAAAGTCAATGAAGAGTATTGGGCAGAGCAGTGGCATGATCTGGTTTACGTTTCAATACAATCCCTCTGCCTGTTATGTGAGAGTTGGGTGAAAAGGGGCAAGCAAGGGCAAAGGCAGGGAGACCAGTGAGGAGCCTGTTTTCATAACCCAGGGGCAGAGATTATCGGCCACTCCCAGAGGGGAAGCGGTGAAGGTGGTGAAAGTGGTCGGATTCGGGATGTATTTGAACATATCGCTGACAGGATATGCTAATGGGGAAGATGGTGGATAGGGAGACGGGAATCACAGATGACTCCAAGCATTTTAAACATCAGGAAAGATGAAATTGATGTTACTGAGTTGGGAGAGAGGTTTAGTAGAATAGGGAAAAAACAGCCATTAGATGAAACCTGTGGAGTTTCAATGTCATAGTGATATCTGTGGGAAAAAAAAATCAAATAATATTTCTCATTATAATGTAAATATAAGCACACATATACATATATGCATATGTATGTATTATGAGTATTAAGTTCAGGAGTGGAGTTGCGACTTGAGATATAAATTTGGTCGGGGTCATCTACAGAATGAAAGAACTATCAAAGAGAACAAAATACAGCCCTCAGCCCTAGAACACACTATTAATGATATTAATCTTTACTACTTTAATTATTATTATTATTACAGCTAATTTTTATTCAGCACTTCCATGTATTAGGCATAGTGCTTAGCACTTTACATACATTACCTTAATGAGTCTTTGAAAAATTTATCATTATCCCTACTTTACAGATAATGAAACTGAGACTCAGAGGAATTAACCAGTTGCCCAAGCCTTATAGCTAGTATGTGGCAAAGCCGGGAATCATGCCCAGACAATCAGACTCCAGATAAGGCTGCCAGCCCAAGCTTACATAGCAAGTTTGTGGCAGATATCTGATAAACTGCTCTATGCAACACTGCCTCTGCTGATTAAGTTCTTTCACTTCCATGCAAAGTTACTCAAAGTGCAGAATCACACCCGAACATAGAGCATCCAGATATCAAGCACACTCCCACACCCAGTCCCCTTTTACACGTCTGATCTCATTCTTCACCCAACATTATGAAATGCTCGACTCTGTTCAGAGGCCAAGGTTCTGAATCCTGTATCTTTAATGTCATTGTGGTGCTCAGCATAAGACCTTGCCCATGAAGCTGCACCATCCTGTGGACTGACTGCAAGTCTGTGGGGCTTTGCTAGCTCATCCTCATGGTGAGGCAGAAAGAGAGGATGATAGATGTCATATCCTTGTGATTGAGGTTATAAATTAGGACCAAGAAGAAACCCACCTTTTGGAAGGCACAGGAGACTGAGGGAACTTCCTAGTTACATCTGTGATACAATGACTTGCTTAGGAGAATTAGTCACAATCGAAGACATGAACCAGACGGTGGTCAGCATCCATTCCAGAGACTTTGATAGAGACTTCACCTGGGGCATGGCTATCCCTGACCCAGTCAGGGCGCCTCCCAAAGAATGGTGCTTTGCTCTTTCGTGCCTAAGCAGGCAGCACAGATAGCATCACTTTGCCTTCCACCATTGACCCTCAGAGATGTGACAGAGCCATAATTGGAATCTTTCAAAGAGCTATTTGGACAAACAGACTGTCAGTTCTTGGTTATAAGTAAGTTGCTATCAGTCATCTGAAAAAGACAAAATGATAGCAATGCACCACCATACAGAGACTATGCCCGACTCTCCAAGGCTGGTTACATAATCTGTAACTTCCCCCCACCTCCATTTCCCAAATTGATCAAGGGCATGCTGCAGGGAAAATAGGTCAGACTTGGAGTCAGACAATCCTTGGTCTGAACCTGGCTCTTAGGTTCTTCAGTGATGACCTTAGGTGAGGTATTCAATTCCTTAGCACCTCATCATCTTCATAAAGTAGGAGAAAGGAGGGAGAATTCCAGGTTCATAGGATTTCTGTGAGAATATAAACAGAACAGATATGGAAAGCCCCAACATGATAACTGGGACACACTGGTCCTCGAGAAACAATAGCCTTCATGATGATGATGTTGCTGGTGGTGGTTATGGTGATAATGGTGGTGTTGATGGTGACAGTGCTAATGGTAGTGGTGGCAAATATCATCATTCTGTATTTCATGTCCTGGGTTGGATCCATGACTCTTCAGAATGTAAACTGAAAGCCTTAGGTAGAACTGCTGTTTTAAAGAAAAAATGTTTAGTGAGATTAAAGGAAACACTTGAAGAACTGACTACAAATTTGTGTTATTATGAGCAATGAGAACATTTGACATTTATTTATTCAATGTTCATTTATATGCCAGAGATGACACTAAGTAGTTAATATGTATTTTGTTTAAATAATACCCTTTGAAGAGCAAAGTACAATTTGCTCCATGTCAAGTTAGAGACCCCAGGCTCAGAAAGGTTTAGCGTGTGATCCAAGGTCACAGAGCTGGGAAGAGTTTAAGGATGAATTGAAGCCCAGGGCTGTTCCATGTTAGAGCCCAACTGCTAGAGCCCAACTGTTAGAGTTCCTAACTGCTGCACCATATTGTCTGAGTCTTGACCACATGTACAGTAGTTATTCTGAGTGGGAAGAGGTAAACATGATCTCAGATAGTAGGGCTCTTGCTAATGGCTATAAAAAATTAACACAAACAAAAGTGTGTTGAGTTTAAGGTAAAGGTTGCAAACAAACAAGTCATAAAGAGATTTTGTTGGTCCCAGTGAGTATTTCTGCGTTTAAGAGCAGGAGATTTCTCTTTTAAAATCCAGATTTCTTGCTTCTCATTAAAACTCAAATGACCTAGAAAATTGGATTATATTTCCAGAATTGCTTCAATTAACTGGGGTAGCCACCATCTTTAGTTCGGTTGTGTGTTCTGAGTTTGTCTAGTGCCCAATACTCCCAATTTCTTTTGCCAGAAAATATCCCTTGTTGGTTGCTGGCCTGGCCCCATATGTGTTTTCAGAATACCCTGCCATCAAGGCCCACACATGGGGCCAGGGTGAGTTCAGGTTGCAGTTAAAAGAGCACAGGTCCCTACCTAGTGCCTGTACTTCTCTATGAACAGGCCATCTCCTCCCAGGAAAGATCAATTTGTTGCTGTAGTGACAGGGGTTTGCTCAACTCAGCTCCACCATCAACCAAAGCCCTGATCAGTCATTGCATGTCCTTCCTGCCCTCTTTGCTAGCCACTGATCATTAATTCTTCTCTATCCCTTTGACAGCAATATTCTCAGTCACCTCTTTTGCTGCCCCTGGTTTTACTGTGCATTTCCTTCTAAAGGTGTTGCTTTTCTTATTTAAAAATGTCTTGTTTTCAGCTTTTTATAACTAGTTCCCTCAAGTTCATGAGAAAGGAGGAACTGAGCAAGCCCAAAAATAATACTAAGACCTCTTTAGAAGCAGACATAAATAAAAATAGAGATAAGGAAACATATTATCTACTTGGCACTTCCCAATTTTCAATGCATAATCACATCTGTTATTTTGTTTGATCCTCAAAACAGTCCAATGAGATGGGAAGAGTAGGAGTAGTACATTCATCTTTGAGAGACGGTGGCTCAGAAGTAAAGTACTCTTCAAGTTATAGTAACTGGTAGACAAGAAGATGTAGATGAATCCAGCCTGGAGTGAATCACCACATGCATGGTGCCTCACCACAGTAAGTTTACTGCCTTATCTTGGGCCTTTGGTCTGACAGAACAGAAACTGAATCATGAGGGCCAAGGGTCTCCTTGTTATACTGTCTTTCCTCCTTCCTACCCTTCTCCTTTCCACAGATGGTCTTGAGCACCTACACTAGGCCAGGCATGTCCTTACTTCAAATCAATTATGGCATGCCAAGAGAAGATGGTTCAAGTGCTACAAAAAATTACACCTTGTGTTTTTTTTTATGATTTTCAAAGCCATTTGTAGCAGCCCCGTTTGCTCCAATTTACAGATGGAGTTTCAGCTCTAAAAAGCTGGTCAACCACAGATATGAAACTCAAACCCAACTTTTAATGCTTTGGCTTTGATGCTCTTTTAATACTAATAGTAGGAGCATGTCACAGTGCCTGGCACAAAGTATGTGCTCAAGAAATGCAGATTAACACCGCATTGCCTCTCAAGATGACTAACATCAACATTTCAAGGGCAAGAAAACAAGGCCCCTCAGGAATCTTAAAGCACTATTGTTCAGAAAAAGCCAACAATGCCTGAAATTAGTCACTATCATTCTCACCTAAAGCAACATGTGAAGCTAGAGAAATATAAAAACAAACACCTCTGCTGAGGCAGATAATGTAGATAAAGATTTTTTCTTAGCTTTGTTGATTTTCTTCCCTGCCCAAGGATGATCTGTTAAGAAGAAAGTATTTTTCCCTATCTATCTCAAACCTCATTCCAGACCCAAAGTCCATTGTTGGATAGTAAGTAGTAAATCAAATTGCTGAACCTTCTCTTGTCTTTTACCCTAAATGAGTTTCCAAGTCTATATGGGAGGGTCCCAAGATTCTCATCTTAGATTTTGTGGGTTTTTTTGCAATTGTGTAAAAGGGGAGTTCGTGGGAAGCTGTTTGATAGGAAAACTTTGGTTTGGCTTGGTTCAAATACCAATACAGAAACAAGAGCAAGTCAAGAACCAATTGTGTTTTGAACTGTCCTTATCAGAGGCCTAATTGTCCACACCCTCATGTCCAAGTGGATCTGGTACCTGTTGCTCCTGTCTGATCTGTTCCACCCTTCTCTGCATAAGGCCAGGTGTAAGTCAGTTTTCACTCTGAAAGAGCATCCTGGATGCTATGGGATAACAGAGATATCGACTAATTCACCAAGTTCATGACTTCCTCATCCTTCTCTACCACTTGGCCCTCTTTGCCTTTATCCTGTTCAACCTCATCACCACTCCCAGAATTAATTAGGTGCATTGGACTAATGATTAAAATGATAGACAGCAAGAGTGTGGATTCTGTAAAACAAAGGAAATGGAGCTACAAGGGAATAGAATTTTAATACTATTTTTAATTCTCTGGTCTGGTGTCTTTCCCATTCTTATTTCCTCTTGTTTCTTCTCTCTCATTGTTTAAATCAGTCAGTGTTGGGGACTCCCCGGTGGAGCAGGGGTCAAAGTCTCAGTGCTATCAAGTTATTACCAGCCATTGCAGCTTGAGTTCAATCCCCAGCCAGGGAGCTACCCACATGGCGCCGCAGACCTCTCCTGTCTCACCTGCTGCTCCCCTGAGCAGTGTATTTCAGTGGATCCATCTGCTCTGCTCCCCACTCTGTCACTGGTGAATCCTCTCATCCCCCACACCTCTGGCCTATACCCCAGTTCTTGTATGCATAAATAAATAAAAACAAACCTTTTTAAAAAAATAAGTGTTTTTCTAAGTGTAATCTCTGAACCAGCAGCATCAATGCCACCTGTGAATGTGTCAGCAAGGCAGATTCTCAGGCCCTCCCCCAGACACACAGAATCTCTTGGGTGAGGGGGAATGAGGAAGCAATTTGTGCTTTAGATAGCACTCCAGTCAGCCCTCAGGTCAGAGGTCTACTAGCTTAAGTAATTTTTTCCTCGCCTTTGGTCCCCTCATAGCTTTCTGACTTCTGATATGTATAAATGGACATAGATTTTGTGATCACACTGAAAGAGTCTTCAAACTATAATCTTTTAGACACAGTCAGAAGAAACTTCAACCTCTAAAAATTCAGCTAGATGTAGTGGGTAATGTGTGCATAGTGGACTCTGCTATCAGGTTCTCTTGATTCAAGTTCACACATGTTCGAATCCAACACCTCTTAGCTGTGGGTTGTAGGCTAGATATTTACATCTTCTCAGCATTGTACATAAATGAGGCTAAAAAGGAAAAAATTATATTATGGTTATTATGGAGATTAGGGTTATTATGGGTTATTGTGGAGATGATAGCACATGTAAAGCATCTAAGAGATCATCAGTCACTCAGGAAATACTCTCTCCTTCGTCTTCATGGGTCCTTCTTGCTGGACGTGGGTGTCCAGCAAAACCACAGTTAAAATAAATATGCCCACACTTTGGTTCCTTCTTGCCTCTCCCAAGACTGCATCAAATAGGCCAAGGTATCCCCTGAAGCCAGTCAAGTGACCAAAGTGTCTCTCAATCTGTTATCTAATAAAGATGCCTAGGCTCTATCTTCAGAGTAGAAAGTGACCAATATTTAAAAAGTGGAGAGTTAAGTATAATTTTTTGAGGTAGCATTGGTTTAAAACACTGTATATGATTTAGGGATAAAGCTTCTCACCTCTTCAGATTCAGGTTATCACAACACACCCATCAACAAAGGACCCTTATCCCTCTACCACAGTCCATTGGTGTGGAATCCCTTCCCCTCTTTGTTTTCATCCCCACCATCCCCCTCTGAAGTCATATTTCCAGGATTTATTTGGTTTAGAATTGTCTATTACTTTATTTTATTTCTCTATATTCCACCTATGGTAAGACCATCTGATAATTGTCTTTCTCCTTCTCTTATTTTGCTTAGTATAATCCCCTCCAGCTCACTGATGTTGTCACAAATGACAAAAGTTCAGTTCATGCTTTTTTATAACTGAATAGTATTCCACTATATATATATATACACATCTTCTATATCTTTCTTTGGCACCTAGGTTGTTTCCATAATTTGATTATTGCAAATAGTGCTGTAAAGACTATAGGAGTGCAACTAGCCATTTGAATTAGCATTTTTGTATTCTTTGACTAGATACCTAGGAGTGGAATTGCTGAGTCATATAGTAGATCTATTTTTAATCTTTTGAGATGCCTCCATACTGTTTTCCATAAGAGCTGTACCAGTCTACATTACCAAAAGAGTTTATTTTTCTCCATACCCTTCTCTTTCTCCTTTGAAAGGACAGAGACTTTTCTTTCTCCAATCTTACTTTCTTTGTTGTAGACTAACTACATATAGGTGCTGATTTATTTCAGGTCCATATAGGTGCTGATTTATTTCTGCTCTTCAACTCTATTCCATTGGTCTTTGTGCCTATGTTTATTCCAATACCATGCTGTTTTGTTTATGATAGCCTTGTAGTACTATGAAGTCTGGGAGTGTGATAACTTACCTCTTTTGTTGTAAGGATTGCCTTGGCTATTCAAGGTCTTTTGTGGTTCATATAAATTTCAGTAATGATCTATTTCTTTGAAGAATGCCATTGAAGCTTTGATTAGTATTGCATTGATTCTGTATATTGCTTTGGGCGAGATGGCCATTTTAACAATGTAAATTCTTCCAATCCATGAGCAGGGAATGTCTTTCCATTTCTTGTGTCTTATTTATTATAACAATGTCTTAGTTTTCATTGTACAGATCTTTTACCTCCTTTGTGATGTTTTAACCCAGTCCTTCTATTTGGTCAGAAGAGGGTGGAAATGGGCATGAAATCTAGAGAATAGAAATTCGTATTTAAGAATTTGTTCTTTCCATCAGTCCAGCTAGAAAGAAAGATACTTCATTAATGGAACCTCAATTGTTTTTGTCCCTAAATAGGAGAAGGGGAAGTTCAAAGTGTTTTCATAGTCTGAGTGAAACTGTCCTTAGATACATTTTGTGTTTATCTGTACTAATAATATATCATTTAATGACCTCTTATTATGTTCCTGATCCTAAGCTATTAAATCACATGTACACATTAGTGCATTGATTCCTCAGAAGTAATTATTATTGTCCCAACTCCAATATACAGATGACAAATTATGAAGGCAACTTTCCTGAGCTTACCAAGACCTGGATATAAACCTGGGATTCCACTCCAGAACCTGAGCTCTTAATCACTAACCCTCAATTCCTAATTCAATTTCCCAGCAACCTCAATACAAGAAAGTGAATCTCCAGAGGAATGGAAACCATTATTCTATCCATTGGAAAGTTTGAGGCTCCCAAAACAAATCAGTCAGTTGGCATTTTGATTTATAAATCTGTCTCCTGTTAGTTTCCTTATGAGTCAGTACCTGAGAACTTGATAAATTCAGGGATAGCTGATTGAATAAATCTTCTAAAGTTACATAGGTGAAGGTTAGGTCCTGTCCTCAGATGACCTCACCAAGGAATTGTCTACCTGCACAGGCCTGCAGGAAGCTTCTAGCCAACCAGCCAATTGTCTTCTTGGATACCACGCTAAGTGCCCAACATGCAGAGCTATATAATACTAGATAATTCAGAGAAAAATGTAGATGATTATCTTGGAAGGAGCAGGATTCTAGGAACATTAAGAATATAGTGGAGCTAAGTGCCCACAGAAATCCTAAGTTAAGAATGGCAAAGAGGTTTCATTTCAAGTAACAAATTCAATCAGTGGGTGAGATTGTCTGAGACTTTGCATTAAGAAGGCTTCTGAGACCACTTCTGGGTAAATAAAAGAGAATGTCATAATTAACTGGCAATATCTGCAATGATTACAGGAGGTAAGCAACTGGCAATATCTGCAATGATTACAGGAGGTAAGCCTGTCTTTTACTTACCATCTCTTTCCCAAGTATTAGAATCTCAGTTTATATTCCGTTACTTTGAATGCAGTGTCCAATTACATTTAGGTGGAAAATACCATATTTTGAAAAACATTTACCAGTGACAAATTTTATGAAGTCATTGCATATATTTCATATAATACTTAAGGGAGGGTACTTACTGGTTTATATGCAAATTGGTATTTACTTTCCAATACTTCTGCCCCCAGAGATTAGTTTCCAGGCAAGCATAGTAAAATATAAAGAAAAAAATTACTTCAGTGTAAGAAATTTAGGGGTATAATTGGGTGCTGAATTTTCTTGTGAATGAAGGACATTGCTTTGGGGACATCAGTCTGTTTATCTAATATCCTCTTAAAGAATATCAAGCATCTTAAAGGGGTAAATATCAGTTTGTCTTCTATTTGAATGTTGTGATGGGAATTGTGTCTATTCCATAAATTAGAAATATAATTTAAATCTGCCCAAAACTGCATTTAAATTGCTGTTGCTTGTAGATTATTGTGTACACATTTTTTTCATTTATAGCTAGGCTAGTAAAATTAATAATTGAATTTAGCAATACTAGTGAATATATTATCAGTGTACAAAAAAAATCTATTATATTTCTATATAAGCAACAATTAGAAAATGAAAGTTTTAAAATACCATATAAAATAGCATCAAAGCATGCATGAAATAGGAGAGGTTAAATCTAGAAAAAGACACGTAAGATGCTACACTACAAAACATTACTGAAGGAGATCAAAGACCTAAATAAGTAAAGGATTCTACCATGCTCATTGATTAAAATACCCAATACTTGTTCCCATAATTGGTCTATAGATTCAGTGCAGTCTGCATCAAAATAACAGAAGAGTTTTCTGTGTATATGTGTGCATACAAAAAACAATTGTTATTTGTGAAGACAGTCTTGAAAAAACCTGGAAGACTTGCATTACCAGATCTTAAGATTCATTATAAAGTTCCAGTAATTAAGACAATCCATAGTGGCATAAGAACAGACAAACCAATGGAATAAAATCTGAAGAAGACTGTCAAATATATGGTCACCAGATTTCTGACAATAATGTCATCATTCTACAATAAGGAAAGGATGGACTTCACAATAAATGATCTGAGTAATTGGATTTCCATATGGGGAGGGGGTGGGGAAGTAAATTATGACCTCTAACTTACACCATTCACAAAAAATCAACTTCAGATGTGATAGGAAAGTAAATCTTCTAGAAGAGAACATAGAATGCTATTTACATTATATTGGGATGAGCAATGATTCTTTAAACAGAACATGAATAGCACCAACTCTGAAAAAAATTGATAAATTAGACTATATTACTTTTGTTCATCAAAATATAATGTCAAGAGAATAAAAAGACAAGCTGCAGATATAAATAGATATCTGAACACATCTAACTAATAAAGGATGTGTATCTATATTTTTCAAACTCTCATAAATCAATAAGAAAAAATCAATAAGAAAAAAAGCATCCTCACTGAACAATTAGTAGAAAACACTGATGAGCATGTCACCCTTGCCAGGCTCTGTGCTGAGCACTTTCTGTGGATGCTGTCATTGATTTCCCAGGTGCCCCACAAGGATTGGCCCTACTGTTGTCATCCCCATTGTCCAGATGAGTAAAGTGAGATTTAGCAAGCTCAGGAGACTTGCCCACGATCTCACAGTTAGTTAACAGCCGACTGGGATTGCAGCTCTGGATGCCTGTCAAATGAAAATAATGAAATTCAAATTTTTCTTTTAAAAAGAAAGAGAAAAGGGTAAGCCCCTGATAACTGGTTATAAATGTCCTCAGAAAGTTGATTGCAGTCTAACCACCCACTGGCCTCTCCCTCAAGCTCAGGCCCAACAAATGGATGCTGTGACTAGGCTTTTCCTTCTCAGTCCTCAGACTCCAGGACTTGGGGGAGGGGAGTGTTTGCATTGGATGTTAGGGAATTACTGTGGTCGACACTCACTGGATTTCCTGTAACTGAAGAGAGTGATGTAATGGTACTCAACCAGGGTGGAAAACAGGCCTCAACCTGAGGTGTATGTGAACCACCCTCTGTCTTGCCAGGCCTTGGACTGACCCTGAGCCCGCTCTGCCATGTCTGGCACACACACCCCTTCACAACCTTCTCTCCTGCCCCCCTTGAGATTTCTCTCTTCTAAGAAGCCCATGACTGAAAATACTAATATGTGGGTCAGTCTCAAATACAGCCTTTCATTTCACTGAGAACTTAGAGTTGCTCATCAGCAACAGAATTTCTCTGATATGAGGTGAGGTGGACGGGAAGGTGGAGCATTGCACTTAGGGAAATACTGGAAAGGTTTTTCAGTGCCTTCATAGTGAGTGACTGATTTCTGACATGTCTTCAAAACTGTAAATAAACCAAAATGACAAGAGGTAATAAAGTGCTGGGAGTCAGGGGAGGCTTCTATCATTTGCAGATCAGGTTGCAGTCTCAGGCATGGAGACCTTCATTCAGTTCCTCTCGGAAAGTTTGAACAGCCAGAGAAGACACAGTAACAAATGAGGAGTCTCCAGCAGCCACCTCCAGTTTCTGACCTAGCTGAATAGTTCCTCCCTTTGCATTTCAGAGCGATCCCATGGGATTCTACTCTTCCCAAGAAAGCCTCAACTGCCTAACATAAGTTTTGCCAACATTTCTAGAAAAATCACTAGCATCAAAATATTCTCCTCAGCTAAGAATTTCTCACTGAGTTCCCTCGCACTTATAGTACATTGCCCAGCCTCATCATTAATCCACTCATGTGTTTTTACTAATTCATTCACTGTCTTATTTTCGCATTCATTTAACAAATGTGCATCAACTACCTACTATGTGCTCTGGGGAATCAGTTGTGAACAAGAGACAGGCTTCTCTTTCCCAGGTCACATAATTAAGTGTTCCCAATTTAGTTTTTATATATGATCATACATCTAGAGAACATTTATTTAACACCTCTTAAGTGCTAGGCACTGTTCTACACAAGCTTAGATATATATTCTCTCATTGATCCTCACAATATTCCAGGAAAAAAATTCTATTTTATAGGTGAGGAAACCAAGATAGAGAGGCTAAAAATAATTTCTTTTAGGCACCCTGGCTAATCAGTGACACAGTTTGAATTTAAGCTAGGCATAGCCCATTCTCTTTACCACTTAATAGATCAATATAGGTGAAAAGGGGAAAAATCCAGAAAGCTATAGCCAAATGTCAATCAAAGTTATATTGTTATTCAGAGGTAGAGAGAGATGACTATAGATTTGTATTTTACTCTTGCTATATGTTCTGTATACTCATTTTCTTGCACTCTCTCCCTCTTCCTCTCCTGATTCTATTTTACTTAGAATTGTATGATGAGAAAGTCAATAAGGTTATAAAAGCACATAAAAAACAGTTTTGTAGGAGTAAGGTAGGTGAAGTGGTGGCAGATGGGAAGCTTGTGTTCAGGGAGAGGTCTGACAGAGATTTCTTACCCCCAGGAAGAACCACACAAGAAGGAGATGCATCTTCACCTCAGGATTCATTCAGCTCCTCTGCCCATCTGTAAGCCCTTTTGGTGACAAGGTCTGGTATTTGCAAATAGGAAGATTCTAAAGTAGGTAGGATTTTTAGTGATCGTGCCGGCTGCATGAGAACAATGTGTGCTCAGGGAAAAACATGTTGCATAATCACTGGCCCAGAGAAGGTTAACTGCACAAAAATACCTGCTTGGGAGTAAGGCTTGGTGTCAGCTCAGGCACTAAGACAAGGCATCAGTTTCCCAGGCTGCAAATGCCTCCTTGCCCAAACCTCTTCACAGCTATGAAATATGCCGTTATCTTAATCTTATTTCAGTGACATCTCTTATTCCAATGTCAGTATATTTGTTTATTCACAATAATAAAGGATGACTTCATACATCAGATCAAAGGGAAGAAGACATAATTAAACAGTCATGTTGTGGCAGATATTTACTTTTCAAAGCAAATATATGAAGTAAAATATGGTCATCCCATTTTACAGATGAGGACACTGAAGCTTAGAGAAGTTAATTAACTCATACAATAGTTTTCCACAAGACAAACTGAGAAGAAAAAGTAGAATAAACTTAAAAGAGTTGTAAAGCAAAATGCATCACCCACTCTTTCATGTGGGTGCTGAAAATGAAGGGGTTGGGAGGATACCCTTTCTTTTGAGAATTTATGTTTTTCATAAAGTAAACCTGAAACCCTATTTAGTCACCTAATCAAACCAAAATACTCTTTTCTGTGGCTGAACATACAAAATGGTTAGGTTATGTTGGGATGTTATGTTTATTCTAAGTGTAATGGGAAGCTATTGAAAGGGTTTTGGCAGAGGACTGACCAGATAGGATTTGTGTTTAAAGCTCATGCTGGTTGTAGAGGGGATAATGGATTGAAAGTTTTTCTCTTCAAATGCACAGTAGATGCTATTTATATTTGTTGTCTGTTCACTTCTGCCTGTCTGTGCCTATTCGTGTCAGCTCTGTGGGTGTAGAAACTGTCTATTTCTTTTTCACTGTTGAATCGTTAGTGGCTGAAGAGGTATCTGATCTGCTAAATAGTTGTTGAATGAATCAGTGAATTAATCAATACAAGAATAGGGCCTCCCTGGTGGTGCAAGGGGTTAAGTCTCAGCACTATGAAGCTATTAGCAGCCACAGCAGCACAATTTTGATATCTGGCCAGGGAGCAACCCACATTGCATACCAGACTTCTCCTGTCTCACCTGCTGCTCCCCTCAGTAATATATTTCAGTCAATCCACCTGTTCTGTCCCCACTCTGGTGAATCCTCTCACCCCCTGCACCTCTGGCCTATACCCCAGTTCTTGTATTCATAAATAAATAAATCTTTTTTAAAAAATCATAGAAGAACAGGTGAATGAATGAAACAGCACACAAATGAATATAAAGTGAAAGAAAAGCAAAGAATGTCATGAAAGCATAAAAAATGAGAATTTAGGGGTGAAGAGAGTGATAGTGGTTGTAACTTGGAGGCAGAAATGAAGAGAAGTGAAGTCAAGGCAAAATATGACATAAAATGAATGACTTGCTGGGGTACCTGATGTGAAGGCTGAGGTAACGCACTCAATACGGAAGGTGATCATCTCCCCGGTCCTTCCAAACTGTACATCCAATTCAGTGCAGTTAATTGAAGATGAGTGTTTTCCAAGTTATTTATTAGCTATTGTACAAGAATGTTGCAAAATAGCAAGCATTATTTTTGAAATAATTAGTTTATGTCACTGAAAATAGGGGGATAAAAGCGGTTATTTTTATAGTATCTACAGGCATCTGTTGGTAACTAACTGACTATGATGCTTACCTCAACCACCCCACCCCCCCCCCGCCCTTAATCTCCTGATATTTCTATAAGGTTTCCATGGCTAGGTTTCCATGGCACCACAACAATCAGTTTCATCCATTCAGGCCAAAAAAAAAAAAAAAATCTGGTCAGAAAAAAAAAGGCGTTAGTGCGCCTGAATGAATGTACCTTCTCTTTGCCCCCCCCCAGACACACTCACACACCCACCCACACACACACCGTTGTTTCTAGCACACAGCTAGATAAACAAGTATTTATAATAACTATTTATTTACTTTTGTACTTGAGTTAAAATAGCTCTCATATCTTATAGACTTTTGTTCACCATCTTATTAATATTTATAAAGAGCATTTTCCAAGTTAAGTGTTTTTCCACTCTGGTATCTGAAAGTGATTCTCTTGAGATTAGTTGCCGAAGAGACACTATTGTTTTACAAATTACAAATAAATTCTTCTCATTTTATAATCCTCAAAGACCCACTGTTATTTTATTATCTTTATTTCAAAAGCTGGTAGCTGAGGAAATTATTTTCATCCATGTGTATGAAGCAAAGATATTCCTTTTCCTGCAACCTCCTTACTCAGAAGTTGTTGGCTAGACAGCCCTCCTGAGCTAACCCTATGATTGGTTTTTTATTTTGAATTTTTATTTCTTTGACATGAATGTTTTGGCTGAGCTCACAGAGGTTCATTCACAAGTTTCAGAACCTCACTCTCCAGATCTAAGACATACCCTTCTGTGACACAGTGGTCTATTGAATCCCTGCTATGGTAACTGGTAGATGCATGTTCCTGTCAATATTCCCAAGTCATAAAGCTGGAATGACTAAATAAACAGCGTGTGGGTTCAATCACTTCAGGCTTCCTCCTTTGTAATATGTTTACTTTTCTTGGGTGGGTGCACCTGTTGATGGTGGACAATTTTTATGAAAACAATTGAAAGGCTGTGATATCTTCTCAAGCCAGATACTTCTGCAAGGTAGTAGCCACATAAAATACAACTTAATTATCAAAACTCTTTAAGAATCAAATAACAGGGCCAGCATACTTTGGACTCTGACACCCAATATATTGTGCTGGGGTCTCAGAAGTTCCCACACTTATTGCCATTGTTCTAACTCAGTTTGCAACATATCCAGTTTCTACAGTTTTTGAATCTTCCTAATGTCTGCAGGGTGGTCCTATAGATTTACAGGTCTCAGTTTCATAAAGGGCTCAAGGAAGGAGCTCTGTGTTGGACACAGAGCTAATGTCTCAATTAATGAGCATCTCATTTGAAAACAACTTATTTGGGAACTGTCCTGCCATGATTGTATACAGAACCCGGGAAAGAAACATGAGACACTTTTAATACACAGGTGTCAAAACTTTAAAACAGTGTCCCATCAGCTTTTGGACATGTTTCCTTTTTGGTTTATATTGTGTAGAACGTATTTTGGGAATCAGGGACTGTGAACATAATTGATCAAGTTTAGTAGTCTTCAAAGTTTTCCCATTGCACGTACTTCTTGGCTACTTTGGATCCTGATTTTCCTCTTTTCATGTCCAATTACTTGATGCTGTTTCTCTGTGCTCCAGCCACCTTCATTTTTTTCATTTCCTTGACATCTTCATTTTCCTTATATAGTTCCCAGTGCTAGGCAACTTATACCACATACACATGCATACACACACACACAGAGACACACATACACACATATGTACTCACCAAACACACACTCATCATTCACTCTTTTCTACCCAATTAGCTTCTAGTTGTCTTTCATATCTTAATTCAAGTACTGCTTCTGCAGGAAAGCCCACATTAACCCTCCCAGTTACTCTAGGTTCTTCTGCATTCTCATTGAACCTATTCTTTTCCTTCAGAGCTCATAACTCAGTTGGCAATTATATAACCATTTGGGTAATTCTTTATCAATGACAGTTTACACCCTGGATTTTGTAAATCCCATGAAAAAAAAGCCTGGATCTGTTTTTTGCTCACCATTGTATCCTCAGCTTTACACATAGAACTAACACACGGTTGATTTGCAGCAATGCATGGTTGGGTGAGTGGATGGGTGGGTGGATGGATGGATGGATGGATGGATGGATGGATGGATGGATGTGTGGGTGCATGGATGGATGAATAGATATGCATGAGTGCATGTGCATGTCTGTTAGGGAATGCTAATGTTTAACTTATGAAGTATATTTTTGGTTTTCTTTAATCCAGGCTGTCTTGATAAACATTAAGTAAAACTGACAATATTTTTCAAATGAATCAACTCCTTTGCTACTTCTGCTTAAAGAACCAGCATCATTCAGTCACATATTTACCGTGAGTGATTCATGTGCCAGTGGTTGGCATTCAAGAATAAAAATCTATTTGTACAACTTACGAATATCATGTAAATACCATGCCTTGTTAACTAGGCGTCTGTGTTCATTTCAGCTTAATCACAGAAACAGCAATTACTCCTCTCTAACACCATTAACAGCCTCCTAATGTGCCAGAGATAAATTGCTCAATAAACAAATGTTTAAATACATTAGCAGTGACCGATTGAGTGTTTGGTTACACACCCAGCAGTCATCTTCCCTTCATTTTCTCCTTCCCTCTGCACCTCCCCACGGTGGGGCTGCCTGTGGAATTTGGGCCAGCTCCAAATAGATAAGATGAAGAGTACAAATACGTACACTGAAGCTTAAAGAGAAATGATATGGAAGGCCCCGTCACCCACTACTGACTGGTACAATACAGCTGGGAATGCATTTTTGATCATGTACCAGATAATTCGAATAGTTGTAGAATGGAGAAAGGTTGATAAAAAACACATGGGGAATTGGAGAGCTTAAAATAGTTGAGATTGCATACCAAGACTAAGTTTTAATTCTAGCTACTACTGGTTCATGCCCACTCAAAAGTTGACTTAGGGAGAAATGCTTATAGTATAATTCTGCTAGTAAAATCATGCTTAAATATAGAAACAAAGGTCTGGTAGGATTACCTTATACTGTGGCTTCTAATTATGTAGTCTAGTTTTGCCAAAAGGGTCCAGTAATCATGGGAATGGATTTTGTGGTTCATGAAAAAAGGCATATTCTTTGAGGACTGGAGTAGTGAGGTCAGGGGCAATAGGCATCATATGCCCATACTACTACCCTGAATTGTAGCTTCCATTTCCTTTTAAAATGTGTCCAACTCAGAAGAATTAATATTTTAAAGCTTGTATTGTCCTCACATTTTATTGATTCATCAGTTATTTATATAGCTATATCATTTGGAGGGTACAACTTCACACCTTCTTCGTGCACGTGCTTCACTCATCTTCCATCAAGACCCCATGCCAATATCCTATCTTCTTCCTTTTCCTATTCCATTCTCCCTCCCCTCCCCCAGTCCCTCAGATAACAAGTATATTTTTCACACAGTCTGAGAATTATTTTTGCTGTGCTTTGCCAGTTTGTATTCTTTCCTTATTTATATTCCACATATAAGTGAAACTCTGCATTTCACTCTCTGACTTATTTCACTTAGCGTTATTACCTCCAGATACAATCATTTTGTTCCATGAGACTGAATAGTATTCTGCTGATTATATATTCCACAATTTCTTTATCCAGAGTCTCTTAGGTACTTCGGTAATTTCCATAGCTTTGCTATTATGAATAATGCTGCTATAAATATAGGAATAAATAAATTTCTTCATGTTAGTGTTTTCATAATCTTTGGATACATATCTAGCAGTGGTATTGGTGTATCATATGGTATTTATATTTTTATTGTAAGGTATCACCATATCATTTTCCATAGAGGCTGCACCAGATTATGTACAATGGATGAATGTTCCTTTTTCTCCACATGCTCGCCAACATATGTTGTTTCCATTCTTTTTGATATAAACCACTCTCAAAGAGGTGAAATGGTATCTCATTGTGGTTTTTATTTCCTTTATAATAAGTGATATTTTTCATGTACATTTATGCCATCTTACTGTCTTCATTGAGGAAGTGTCTACATAGTTCTTTTGCCCATTTTTTAATTGAGTTGTTTTGTTGTTGTTGTTGATGATGTTGTTGAGTTGTATGAGTTCTTTATTTATTTTGGAACCCCCTGTCAGGTGTGTCATGTACAAATACCTTTTCCCAGTCTGTAGGTTCGTGGTGGTTTCATTTGAGAGACAGAAGTAAAGCTTAAATTAATTCGTAAGAATTTAATATCCTAGAAATCATTCTCCTAAACTTACTGTTTTAGATGTTTTAAAAAATAAAAGCAATACATGCCCATTGAACTATGTGTTTGCATCTACATAAATATATAGACCTCTACATAGATAAATAGATGTAGGCATTTCTATTACATAGTACAGACATTTCAAAATTAAAGTCCTTGCTTGTCTCCTGCTGCAAATTACATCTTATTCTCCAAAGACATCTAACAATCTGACTTACTTACTTCATTTTACACAAAGGGGATACTATCATATGTACCATTCTGCAACCTACTTTTTTTCTTTAAGACAGATTTTAAATGTGCCATTGAGGAAAGCTTGCACTTACTGCCCTATTTTTGCAATTTCTTATGAAACCACAATAATTTCAGAATAAAATGTTTTCACTTTTTAAAAAACATATCATGTTTACAGGGCCATTTCAATACAACTACCTTCATCTGTTGAGTGGGTTACTAGTGTCTTATTTGTTATGATATATAATAATTCTCTGAAATAGTCTCCCATTGATAGGCATTTAAGTTGTTTTGAATAATGATGTAATGAACAACCTTGTACTTACAGACCTCTAGTCATGATATGGTTTGACAAGCTGAGTACCTCATTGTTTCAATTGTGGGCATGGATATAAACTTCAGAATCTCATGTAATTGTATCAAGAAAATTTTTATATTCATGAATTTTTTCTTCTATAAGAAATATCTAGTCATAGCAGACAAAAGCAAATCACTGCAACATTTATGTCTACTCTCCATTAGTTGCTTCTGCTTTTTG